AGATCGTGGCCAAGGGGCCGGCTATGTGGGCTGATAGCTCCTTGAGAAGCCTTGGATGAAGATTATCAGATTTCCCTGCATCTAGTTTCATTAAGCATTTGAGCACGATGCCTTGGTCGATGTCAACGGAATCTATCCCATGTTCTTCTGATGCAGCCAGAGCTATTCCTATAGGCAGTGATGACTCCTGAGTGAAGACTTGGGAGAAGTAGTTTGCCATTGCTTCTGCTTTTTCTTGATCTTCTTCGATTGTATCTTTGTCAATAATCAGGTTTGAGACACCATTGGATGTTTTATTCCTGAAATTCATGTACGAGAAAATTTTCCTAGGTTGTGCCTTTGCATTTTGAGCCGGGTATGCCTCGAACTTCATCCTTGATTGGCGGATTTCTGCAATAGCATTATTTCTAGCAGTGATATATAATTTCCTGGTCCCAGAAGATTCAAGTGTGGCAAACAGGTTCCAAAATTTGTGTTTACGTCTGATTGGACATTCTCGAGTCTATTCATGAAACGGTCTGCTATTATTGAACCCGAGGGAGTTCACAGTTGAATGTCATCCTTTTTTCTGTTGATGGTGTCACTGAGAGTGAATTGTACATCGAGATCACACATCATCAACAAATCTTTCGAACGTGTTGTTGGAATTCCAATGTTGAGGTGGTCATCATCTGTATATTCACGTAAATAAAACAGAAATTTTCCGTGAGTGAGACATTAGTGGACAGCTATCCACTGTCGAAGGGTAGCACACTTTTTTAGTAACATTCATGTTACATATGCAGTCAATGAATTGGAAAGTGTCATGAAGCTAGTACATGCACGTATGTTTCCATACTTGATTCTAGAATGTCAGCTAACCATTTTGCAATAGAATGATATGGACAATCTGACGTATTATGATTTTGATAAAGAGGGTGACTAACTCTGTGTATCTTTGCTATAGAATAACCTTCGGTATTATTGAAGCTGTTAGGCGGATATAATCGTAGATATGACATCTAATTACTTGGTCAGCTCTCATTCTTCTTAAGACATCCGTAGGCTGCTTCTCAATCAGTGCAGTTTTATTTGTTGCGTTGAGAAATTAGGAAACTTCCTTTCGTCTGAGAGGACATTCTTCATTTTCGCCATGCTGTCTTTGCAGTTCAAAATAAACTACACCAAAACTGTTATCAGGACGGGTTATTTGCAGTTCTTTGCCATCTTTCGAGTGTCTTAAGTCTCCTTGGTGCTGCCTTCTCAGGGGGTTGCGGAATTGTGTTTTTTTACTGTCGTAGTGGCGGCAGTAATCTATGATTGTTGGTTTGAATCGTTGTAATTCTTCGTCAGGAATTGGATCAGATCATTGATTTGGCTGACCGACTTTTCAGACTGTACATGAATATGAAGTTTGTTGACGTTGAAGTTGATATCTCAGAATTTCGGGCCTGAAAACAAGACTTCCAGCTCGGCGATTATGCACATGGTCCGGGGTTCGATCCCTTGCCAACGCACACCTGATATCTATAGTCCGCCTGCAAAATTTAGGCTATCGATATCACATGCTGAAAATTCGATACCTGTACCAAAATACGGTGTGGAATCAAGCTGTAATAAAGAAATCATATAAAGATACTGAAGAGACCATGGATACAAATTCGTAGTAAGTTTCATCGACTTGAAATATTGGTGAGCTGGGTCACTGCAGGTTTTGAAGTTATGTTGGCAACCGTATTAACGTATCCTATGAATCATTCACATTCATCGGTGAGTAATTCGTATAGAGCTGAAGACGTTGTGAAATATTCCGTCGAAGTTCTGGGATGTGTGATCGCATGAGGTTAGAAGAATTCAATGCATGATGTATTTAACTCCGTACGGGAAACGCTTTCCGCAACCACTTTGGGTATTCACAGTTATCGACACAATCCTCGAAAATTTATTTTCCCGTCTACTACAGCAAGCTTAACAGAGTATCAAAGAATGCCGTTGAGCTCCTCGACTGCCAAGAGGTCCCTGCTACTTTTTTCTTTATCAATAATCTCCATCCAGATATCAGGGAAAACCAAACACGTGTAGTTCACCGAGGAGATCCAGTAAAAAAGTAAGTCTGAAAAATTTTGTCAGACTGATTTTGAGATAAAAGATGTGAATGTGGTAAATTTCGTTGACAATAAAATGTAAGTTAACTGGTAGAAGTGATAATATAGAGAGATTTCAAATGTTCTATTCCAGGATTTGATTGATTCCCTTTCAGATTTAGGCTTGAACAGGCATCAAGCAGAGATTTACTGGAGACTAACGGCACTATTCCTAATTGTGGTAGGCTGGATTATTCATCAACTGTGCATGGGAGTGAGGAAACAGGAGTACGCTGGGATAATAAGACTTGATGAAGCAACGGGCGCCTCCACGCGAACAAAGAGATGACGGAGGTGAGGAAGATAACAATTGCACCAACAAGAACAACAAAAGCAACCAGCAGCAATTATCATCAACGGAAGAAGAAATGTGAAAGAGATAACTTCCTGAACTTAACTGGCTAGTCAGCATCATTTCAACAACAGGAAGTTGGAACCTATGAGAATGTCAAAGCTAGCCAGAGTCGGAAAGCCAAGGTGTTCATTTCATTAGATATCTGAAATCATTGTGGAAGTCGTCTGCACCCCGCAGAATAAGGAAGGAATTTCGGGTTTCTAATGTCATTTTTAAGCCCCTCTGTTCTTCTATATGGGTCAGAAACATCAAACCAGTGTCACGCGAAGTGTTTCCAAAAGGCTACTGAATACTTCTGACCAACAGCTGCCTTCGCTGGCTCAAAACTGAAAATCTAATGGCTGGCTAAACAGAAAAGATTAGAAAGCGAAGCAAATGGAACAAAGAATCCAATAATGCGTCTATCGACAGATCTTCGGAGGAAATAGAGGTGAATGAGGCACGCTCTGAGGAGACCGTTGAGTGATACAACGCAACAGGCTATCGTTCGAGTGAATCTTTAGTGGTAAACGACAAGTTGGACGTGAGTGTGATGGTGATATGGAAGGTAATGTGCGAAGATAAGATCAGAGATTAAAGGAAATCATAAGACTAGCTAAAGAGGACTGTAGAGAACAGGTTGAAATACACGTGCGCCGTTGAAGTCTCATATTCTACTCCGAATCCAAGGAACAAGAATTGATTAAATATGCCCATTAGAATTTTCAAAACGATGGTTACACTGAACAAAGAATATTCTTTTCGATAACCTTCTCTTTACCAGGTTCTACAGTTATATGCATCCATACTTAGTGGTATCAACAACATTAATGCTTTTCAAATAACATCGAATCAATAACAGTAATATCAATGGATTGCGGTTCGACACCATCAAAATAACAAACAGTACACTGAATATCAGAGAAATTGGGAAAACTGATGATGGAAATTCGTGATTTATAGTCTCCAATGAAGCTCAGCCAGGGCAGAAGTAGTGGCTGGGTGGCTGGCTGGAATTGCTTCTTCTGTAAACACACAGCACCGATTGTTTCAGGAGAATTGCAATCGATTCCGCTGTTTGGAGTGTTCGTCTGGTACCTGGATGTTTTTGGAAATTTCTTTGAAACCCGATGCATAATGGACGAGGATTCTTCAATATGAGAATTGTGGCTAGTCTAAACCACATGGTGTAATCTCGAGCTATTGATGCTTCTCATTACACCTTTATTTAACCACACTATTAGATATTCCCAAGCACGAAAGATCAAGTTCCTGGAACAACGGTCACTGTAACAATGATTACTATAAAAAATGGGCACTGAAGACATGTTTCATCCCTACAGATTAGAATTTGATAGTCAGTTAGCTAGTCACTAGTTGCTGGAAACGGCATCAACTTCCTAGAGTTCTGATGAGAATTTGTGACCGGTGGGGTTCTCCATGTCCCATCTAAGACAGATTTGCATCGATAACATAGGGTGGTGTCTTTGGCGCTATGCATTGCATGAGTCTACAGAATCACTGGATTACAAATTGGAAGCTGAATGGTAAATAATTCTGTCTAGTAACCCGAAGATATTGGATACAACAACCTCTAGTGGAGTTACAGGTTCACATTGCCAATGAGTCCCAAATTGGAACATAACAGACTCTCAAAAGCCTCTAATTTTAAGTGGTTCTCTAATTGATTTCCTTCTTGAAACGAAATCTAACTAAGGATAGATGATTTATTTAAATTGATGGGCCAGAGTTGTGAGTAACTGTCAAAAACATGACATTTCGAGGTTACCCAGACTTTTCTGGTTATCGATAACCAGGCTTTTCGCCTAATATATACATATTATTCAGAAATTATTACTATTTGGCTAATATATGCCCATTTGACATTTAAATGTCAATCGTAGATATTAGGACTGACTAACCATCTTTCATGACGTCAATCAGATATAGAAATGTTGCTCTTCAGAGGTTTGAATTGTTTAGTTACAGGACATAATCATAAGCTGATATCGGTAAGAGAACCACTGAGCAACCCTAAGGGGGAAATATGCATCTGGCTGTTTCGTCCTTGCTCGGGATATTTAAGCAGTACACATCCAAAACCAGGGTTCGAACATCGGCGTGAAGTTCATGGATTCATCTACCGACACATCAGATCATTCCTAAGGATACAATATATATATAAAAGTTCATTATTATCGTACCATCGTATATACATTGCTAAAACAGCTCACAATCGAGAAATTTCGCCTACGAATAGCATCACTTCCATTCCAGAACCATAAATACTAAAGGCCAAATATAATCAGAGGCTAAAGTGAAATCAGCACGAACAGATGCTCCGATACCAGAGTTAGCAGAGCCAACCAGTTCCCTAGAAATTGTTCCTCTCGACTGACTCAACAACTGACAAAATCATCGAAAATTCAAGTTAACCTGTAACCCACCCACCACAAATACATACACAGGAATATTCCCATTTCAAAACTAAGAAAACACATTTCACTCATAGAATTGAAATCATTTTATTTAACCGGGAAACTAATCAATAATAAAGAGGAGAAAATCTGTGCAAAATATGCGACACTATCCGTATCACATATTTGCACCAGAATTCGCCGGTACACATTCATGCATTGCAATGCATCATGATGTGAGATGGAAGGACAGGGACAGTTAAGCCAGTTGACGCTTCTTAACAGTAAAATATTCGCCTTCATAGCTTCCAGATGGGTCTTCAGTAAATACGTAGCCATTGTTGTAGTCTCCTTCAGTGAAGGCGTCATACCTGACAGGTGAGTGGCCTCGAGGAACCTCACTCTCACACTGACACATCATCTTCCTCTTCACCACATTCGATTGTTGCTGTTGCTGACCTGATTGGCCTGATGACGACTGACCAGATCTGTGTCTACCACCTTGCTGACGTCGAAATACTGATCCCAGATATCCAGATGCACTCGAATATTCATCTCCAACCGATTGAACACCATTCACTCTGTGACCTTGACGGTTAGAATTCACTGCAACAACACACAGACTTGCAACCAACAACACGACGAATTTGTTTCCCTGCATGCTTTGTTGTGTGAGTGAACCTGTGAAAGAGAAAGGAAAGACAATATGAGAATATTGGAAGAACATCGCTGTCAAACCTGACTGGCATTATCCACGTCTACACTCTGCTCTCTCTGCAAAATCACTACTACACTGCAAACCATGACAGCTATGCTGAATGGAATTAGGCGAGGTGCATACATATTGCAGTAATTCAGCTCCTCTTATGAATGTGTAAATACACAATATGATAACAATAATGAAACCACGATAACTGAAATTTACTGGGATATGATGAAAGATACATAAGTAACGTGATGAGTAGTTTGTGGAATAATAATTCTGTGTGGAATCACCTGTCTATCTCCTGATTTCAATAGTTCACAAGCTCATTTCTGACATTTGTCTCTTGCTTCACTCAAAATCTCATGCTGTGTTGTGTTATGTTCCATTGTGGTTGTAATTTGATAATTAACGCCAAATGAGCCTAAACTCTGATGCCTTCTCCTTCTGCTTCACCTGAAGAGGATGTTCGGTATCAGTCATGATGACATCATCTCACTCTTTGCATGAATTGAAATACTTATTAACAGCAATGTCAGTTGGTGAAATCAAAGCGACATCTATAACCCTACACACTTTCAGTCAACAGTATTCTCAGTCATATCACAAAGTTTATCTTGAGAATAACAACGAGACATATTTACGTGGTACACGCTGTCACAGAACGCCGAATAAACGAGTAAATTAGAGAATATTCTGTGGTGTATTTCACTGTTATCATGTGTGATGATGATGATGATGACGAGTGGGATGTAGTCGAACAGAGGTGATGTCTTCTGTTCACCAACTGCCTCTCTCAACTGAGATTACATCTGATGAGCGTTTGGCCTGAACGGCGATGTTTGCGTTCACCTAGGCTTGTGAGTTCGGCTGACAAGCGTATCTGAATTAAACCGCTTCTCACTTATCTGAATATACTCACAATGTTTGTGCAGGCACCACAATATCTGAACACTACACAATATGCGATTCTTTGCGTTTGACAAGTGGGGCATGATATGTAATGCATTGAGAATGAACATGTCAGACAGAAGTGAGTGAAATATAAACGCATCGATACTTACCTCTCTCAATCTCTGTATATCTCTCTCTGTCACTCGACCGATCTGATCTGTTGATCGGTTGAATTCTTCTCGAATATTTATACTGATTTGTGATTTGTTTTCTATAGTAACCATTTGTGTGTGTGTGAGATGGGGGCTGTTGGCCATCATATACGCAGGACAATCTGACTGGAGACTGTAATTGTCCACAAATATTTGTACAACGAATAATTATGACCTGCATTTTGACAGACAGACGGACAGATTGACGCATATTTTGTTTAGATGTAGTGCAGATCTGATAGGTTTTGATACCATAATTAGACTGGTAACTGTTTGATCGTTTGATAGTTTATATGTATATTCATATATCAGGTCCCCTACTTATGCGTAGTTAAATTATGCTTTTCTTCCACGTTTCGTTTTATGCTGGTAGAGGATTAAAACCGAACTCAGTAACCTAACATTATACATCGCTGATAACGTTCATATGCCTCATTTAATTGATCATCAACTTCAATCCATTTTTTTGCCTACCTTTATTTTCCTCTTTGAACCTACCTTACTTCATGCTTGAATCATGTAGTCCAAATATATGTTAGGGCGATTAATATCCTTGTAGTTTGTGCTGACGAACTACCTACCAAGTCGATTTGTGCGCCTACTGTTCCAATCATTAATAGCAATAACGACGACGAGATACAACATCAACAAACCTAAGATACAAAGAGACACGTCGCTGATGTTGAAAGCTGCCCCACTCCTACTGCATAAATAACTGTTCCATACACACCATCAATCCGACCTTCTATCCATTATGCTCTTCCTGGGCGGTATTTTTGAGCACAGACCAGGTCACCCTTCTGCAATAACCTGCAGTACTATTCGGATGGTTTGGTCTTGGGTGCATAATATCCATCCTGCTGAACTTTTCTTCTGTTCTGCTGTCAGCACGTGCATATAGAGGAAATAGAACTGTTTTATAACTTCTGGTGTAGCTATTCCTTCTCTTTTAATATATCTATCTCGAAAGTGTCCACAAACTCTGATTCCTGACCATCGTACTGGAATTGATAAGGTATCTTCCGCACCTGTTGTATATCATTGCTTCGACAGGAATCTTCAATTACTTTCAATGTGAATTGACTGCAATTGTCGGATAGAATGGTCTACTAGGATGACTATGTGATGAGAAAATTCTGGTGAGAACTTCTAGGGTACAAGTACTGGAAAGTGGGTAGTTAGAACTACCTCGTTCCACCTTGAATAAGCGCTCACTCAGTTCACTGGCTCAGCGAAATCTGAATTTATTCAGGACCATGGTTATGATGGCCGCCATGGCTTCGATTATTTTGCGGTGGGCTTTTGGTGGAAGCTTGACGCGATTGGCACCTGTCCTCTAATTTACTTATAACAGTATCCATTCTTGGCCGAAATGCATAACTCCTGGCTATGGACTTCATGTGTACAGTTCCCTAATGCCCATTATGAAGCTATTTCAACAGGGTCTGCCGCAGGATATCAGGTATTACTGCTCGTACGCTAAACATTAGGTAGTCATTATTTATATTAAGACTGTGATGCTAGGGAAATACTTCTTTGAGATCATGTCTTGACAAGGACAACCGCATAGCTTGTTTGAGAGTATCGTCTCTCTCTGTGGCTCGCTCTATTTCTTCTCTTGTAATCGTCAGTTGCTCAATGGCTAACGGCAACTTCCGGTTTGTCATAGCCTCATCCTGAATGACCAAAATTTGAGCCTGAAACTCCAAAAGTGATGAACATGTTCATGTTCTCAAAGAAGGAAGTTACGCTGTTGGGAAAGAATATTTGCTGCAACATTAGTGAGTGTAGTGTTTCTCAGCCAACCTGAGGAGACTCTTCAATGATTTCGCACAGTATGCAGACCGTCTGTTAAAGTCAAGATGGGCATCTCAAGGTGCTATGAAGGAGACTGCTTAATGATGAGGTAAAAGCTTATAGGCTGTCATGAAGACAACCAAAATGGACTTTAGAGAACAGGATGTAATGCAGATGTGATGTTGAACCCTTATGTACGATTTAGAACCCAAGGGATTGATGAAACTAATAAATAGTTTCTAATAACCTGCAAGACAATCTCGTCTAGTTAACTGGATTTCTAGTATCCTAGCCGGTCCCAAAGAGGGATTGTTGGGCGTGAGGCTAGCGACGCCACACTACAAAAGCTATTGACGCACAGAAAGTATACTAAAAATACGAAGACAAAAATCAAATAATACTCTTATTCTTTGCTCGAATCGCAGAAAGGAAATGGCACAGAGGGCAAATGAAGGCCAGCCTATGGAATCCAGTCAGCCAGCCGATGTGTCTTCTCTCGACGGAAGCAAGAATAAGAATGGAGGCGTGGAATATCCGTGCAATGTACGAGGCTGGCTAAGAAGGCTGCCCAAGTAGCCGAAGAAATGCGAAGATATGGTGTATAAGTTCTGGTGAACTGTGAGAGCATAGAGAATGGATATGGACTGGCAAAATTGTCAACTGGTGAGTCAGAAATCTACTTTGTGAAATCTAGTCACACAGACAACAACCATGAGTACCCTGATAAAATGAGTTGTTATCATGATGTTGCCAGTGGCACCTAGAATCCTAATACAGTGTGAACCGATCTCCTCCGTCAGGATTATGACAGAGAGAGATTCAACTCAGAAGAATGGAAGATTAAATTCATTTAATGGTACGCACTGTGTTACAAACAACGCGGAACAAGAGAAGAAGCAAGATTTCTTTCGGCAACCACAAACAGTAATGGACAACATTCCAAATGATGATATCAAAATCCCCATGGTTAATATGAATAACAGGCGAACTTGGGGCAGATAAAACAGGAAGAGAACTCATAATAGCTCGAGAGGCACTCTGAGAACTCTACACAGACTTCGTGTGATTTCAACTATTCGGTGATCGAGGCAGCGTATACAAGCACAAGGAGTTACAAAAGGCTACATGGATTTCGCTTGATGGACACAACACAAAGCAGGAAGAAATGATCTCAATACTGCTGAGTAAAGCGGAGACGCAGTCAGGCTGCTGGACACAAAGTCAAGAAGGGCATTTAGGCAGGCCACAGGTCGAAGAGACTTAAGAACATTATATCAGATAACCAGGTCTATCACCTTCCCAGAAGATATCAACGCAGAGAAGAGAAACTATAAAAGATGTTAAAGTGAAACCAATCGTCAAGGATGAGAGACAAATAATACAATGATCTGATCACCTAAAAGAACTCGTCCAGAAATACCACCAATATCATGCACAGAATTGTCTGCCAGTGAACAACAGTCCTTCAACGAAAGCATAAATCCTGAATGCGATCAAGTTACTGAAGTCTAACAGGGAAGGTAGCACGACCAGACGGAATCTCCTCCAAAGCACTGAAAATGAAACTGCAACCGATATGCTCATGCCTCTACAAAAAAGGTTTGGAGATAAGGAATGGTGCCTACTGACTGGAAGAAAGGTTGGGCTACCTCATAAAACTGCGCAAGAAGGACAATTTATGCCTCACTGTACGAGAACTCGCGTAGAATCATGGCCTTGTCCACGCCGAGTAAAATACTAAGTCGCACCATTCTTGAAACAATGAAAGATAAATTGGATACGGAATTCCCAATCTGCGAAAAGCTTGATTCAGGAAACGCAGATCATGTGCTCATGAAATTGCAGCTCTATGCATCGTCGAACTAAGCATGGAATGACAGTCAACTATGCCTCTACTTCACCTTCATCAACTTTTAAATGTCCTTCGAAAGACAGCGTTGATCGAGAAGTAATTTGGAAACTACTTCAACACTACGGTAAGCAGTCCTCCTATTCTTTGTCAACCACATTCAACAGCTGGCTATATGACAATGACACGTGTCAGGTGATCCACAACGGGAAACTCAGAGAGGCGTTGGAATTGAATACAGGAGTAAGACAAGGCCTCCTGCCTACTATCACCCATGATGCCTTTCCTAATTGTGGTGAACGGACTGGATTAACAATAATAATTAACAATAACAATTTCGCTTTATTCCAGAAACAGTACTTGTGGTACAGTGTGGAATTTTCAGCACATATCTACAATATTGCATCTAATTTCATCGTACATTTAAAAGGAGTATTATAAAAAAAAATAAAATATATAAAAAAAACAAAACAATAACAACAAAAAACCAAAAAAGAAACACAGAAATAACAAAAAAATGCAAATAAAAATACCAAGTAAAAAGGAAGATAAACACAAATAATGAAAAAATATTTCAGTATTGGTTAGTGGAAGCTACGATATGTGTATGCGTGGTGAACAGTAACAGCTATAATCATACGGGAAATTATGAGATGTTCTTAAAAAATGTTTATAGCCAAGATGATCAGTTAATTTGATTGAACAACACTAAGCAATCATAAGATAAACATTTCAGGTTGTGTTTTTTTTATTGTCAGCACTAATGCGGTTGTTTGTAGTGGTAGTGTGAGGAATCATGCATAATACAAAATTTTTAAAGATGGTGATAGTGGCAATAACAAACAAGATTGTCAGTTAAATAGTGCCGAACAAAGAACAACCACAAAACTAATGTTACATGATGGTTAATGACGGGACAATTTTTAATAATCATAGTGATAATATAGTCGGACCCAGTAGATGTACAAAGAAGGAATAGAATAAAGAATAAAAATGTAAGCCAATGATAATAATTTTAAGCAGCTAAGTATGTTTAAGAAGGTTGTTCACTATAGAGTACAAATAAGAGAGTGTAAGGGGGAAATAACAAGGGCCAAAATTATGTTATTAACAACAAAGCAAGTCATAGGTTTCGCGCTCAACATTGTCTCTGTCACTTAGAACACGGGCCAAATATGGTATCGTTGAGTTCCTATACTTGGTTGTACGAGCATATATTATTTTGTACTGATTTCTGGTTCTACCTGATGAGATGCAGGGAGAGAGTTGGGAATAGAGGGGGTGTTGGGGGTCAGAGAGTATGGTTTTAGACCATTTCTCACATGTATTCAGATGCTTATCCACTAATGTTGTGACGAGCTGACTGAGTTTTACACCGCTAGTCCTACTAACTACCTTCAACATCCTTCTCAGGATGGTATAATCCTTTTTCAGTAACCCAGGAAAGACTAACGGGGAACAGTAAAGTAGAATAGGTAGGATACGAGAGTTGACAAATTGTGAAAGCAGAGGTTGAGGGACTCCAGTTAGTCTGAGTTTCTTAATGTAGTAGGTTAGACGAAACA